TTAAAAATCGTTAAGTTAAAAAATTTTTATATGGAAGATTGGAGCACTATGATACATTGGGTACCATAAAACATCGTTTTGAAAAAAAGTTAAAAATTTAACGCCTTTTTTTTGGGGGGGTCAAAATTTGTGCTTTTTTGGATGACAAAGTTATTTATTAGTTTTTAACGTTTATAAGTTTTAAGATATCTTATTCAATGTGTTATTCAATAAATAAAAATATTTTGTAAACTACAATCTATAGGCACTTTACTTCATTAAATAAAGTTTTGGAAAAATTAAGTTGATAAAAAAGCGATTGTTTTCTATTAGTAAGTATGTGATAACTTGATATTGTATTTTTGGGAGTCCCTAAAACCGTATTAATTAAAATTAAAAATAAGTTGTTTAACATTTTCATTGTTTAATGCTTGCGGTTTACTCAGATTTTACATCATTAGATTTAATTCAATTCTATTTAATAAGTGCTTGATTAAACCTTATTTTTTTACTTGCTGGAAAATTGCATTTGTGGTTCTGATTTTTAAAAACTCTGGAGAACATTCTAACCCCTCAAGGTATCCAATCAGTCTTCTTTCTGTTATCAGCAAGGTCATCGAGTCTTTTAATAACAAATTTCTAACATCCCATCTTAAGTCAAATAACTTACTATATAAAAGTTAATATTGTTTACGATCTTGTTCAACTGACTAGCTAACTTTTGTGTCTAAACAGCTCTAGAGGCAGCGACGCAAGGGCTATTGCTTTTGATATATCTAAAGCCTTTGTTAAAGTTTGGCATGCTGGTCTTCTCCATAAGCTTGCTTCTTATGGTGTATCTGGGAAAGTTTTTAAGATTATCAAAAATAAATGACAACAGTATTATATACAAAGACGAATAAAAAATTTATAGAGGATAGAATTAGGAGTAATAAAATAGCAAGCATTGTCGACAGTATTGTAAGAGTTGTTTGCAGTAAACAACTGAGTTTTATTGGAGTTAAAATTAAACTTATTAATTAGTTTAGGGAGAATTGAGCTCTGGAGAACAATTTTGGAAATACTACGACAGGCATGTTGTCTGGACAATTATGTGTGGAAGATTTTAATTGAGATATGACTTTAGCAACAGAAGCTGGATTTGAATGTCTAACAATAATTTGACCTGTTTGATTGGAAAGGAAGGAAGAATAAGGCCATGAGATTCAAGATTTAACTTAGAAAAAAAGTTCAGGTAATGAATTCATTCTGCTTTATAAATATGTTAAATATAAATAATTCTGCTTTGCAACTAATTCTGCTTATTTCAGTATTTCTGCTTTCTTGATAGATAATAAGATAAGTCCCATGAATGTATATTATTCGCAAGATGGAATGTTAGACCTTCCTTTGTTAACAACGCTGTTGAAGATTTTTCAAAAGTCATGAATGAGAGATAAAATGTTAGGCCTACCCTTAATAATGACACTAATTTTTCAAAAGTCTATAAAGCCTAACTTCTTAGATAAGATACGAGATTTGGTGAATTAGGATTTATGGAGCTTAGCAACAGATAGCACCTTTTTATATTGGTTTCTTGCAATAATAAATAGCTGCTTGTTCTCAAAAGAGTTGTTCTTTTGAAAAAGATGAAAAAAAATTACAGTTAGATATGAAAGATGCTCAAGAAGGTGAAAGCCATAAAGTAGAATGAGGCTTGACTTTGAACCGGCGAGAAGGAATAAAAGCATCCATTCCTGCCTGAATTCTAGTGGTTACGTAAGAGGCGCATTTTTTACCTGGGAGGAAAAAGACATTAGCCCAAGGACTGCCACAAACAAAGTCATGAAAAGAATCTCAGTCAGATTTAGGGTAGTAATAAGTAGTGCAATGATAGGGTGAGTCCGAAGAAGAAGTACAAATGAAAAGATTTATAGAAATTATTGCATGGTCAGGACCACCTACAGGAAAAAATAGATAAACTGAACACTAGCTTGGGTCAAAGACATTAGACATAAATCAAGGAGTGAAGGTAAATGATTAGGGTTGTCAGGAAAACGAAAGTTAACTATATGAGTAAGAGAATAAGAAATGCAGAAGTTATAGGTTTTAATGCTACCAGGGTCAGTGGAGTTAAAGCCATTCTATTCAGTGTGATAAGCATTAAAAGGGGTAAAGAGAGGGAGTGGTCAATTTGATCAGAAAATTCATCTAAAAAAGTTTAGTCTTGGGAAAAAGGAGAAAGGTTACAAAGAACAAAGAGAAAGGTTATAGGTGAAGAGGTGGTAAGTGGAAGCACGTGAAAGAATGGTCAAAGGAATTGAACCTGATTTTACATCGAATAGATAAATTGATGCGCACGTATACCCCCAATCCAAGCATGTGACTATTAGAATTTATGCGAATCAAAGGATAGAACCCATCAACACTAAAATCTAAAACAAGGAATATTGGAGTTTAAATTAGTTTTGCTAAGAGCAAGTAAGTCTGGTGATTTTTGAAAGATGTAAGATTCGAGTGATGAAAGGTTGCTTCACAAACCACAAATATTTGTATAAAATATATTAAAACTTTACTTTTAATAACCCAAAATTTTAACCATAAAAATTTCAGGTTACCAAAAGTAACCCAAAATTTTTATGGTTAAAATTTTTGGATACTTTCGGCATGATTTAAGTTTAATTAGAATTGGACTCATTCATAGATAGAGTATGGCATTATATGCAAGGAGCTATGCAGTTGTCTCAGTCAAGTTAAATAACCCTAAATTGTAGCATAAAGCTCCTGATGAGGCCTCAGCAATGCACACCAAAAGCATTAACAGGGACACAGCCTAGTTAGCAGAATTATTCTGCTTAGGGTTACCCCTAACGTCTTTGCTTAGGTGGCCTTCTTCAAGACAGTAGCTGAATGCAGTTAACATCTGCCCAAGATAAGTATTTTTGTTGAGACACTATCTCTAGCCTTTACTCAATTTAGAGCCCCAAGGTAGGGGAATTTCGGCTGGATGCAGTTAACAAGTTAACTGCCCAAGTTATTTTTATCAAGGCATTATCTCTAGCCTTTACTTAACCAAGAGCCCCAAGGCAGGACATTTTTGATCATGATCAGGGTAATCCTGAATCAGACCTGACCTGAAGTAGTTAAAAAGAGTTACTTCCCAGGTATGATATTTTGGAAATGCATTAGGAAAAACATGTGAGTGTTTAGTTTTATAGTTATAGTAAGTATTTAGTTACTGAGCATCGAAGAGTTATACAGAACACAAACATACATAAAGTAACTTAAGGTGAGTAAACACTGCGTCAGAGGTTCAGACAAAACAAACATACAAGAAGTAGCTTACTAGTAAATGAATACCGTGCCTGATGTTCAGACAGAACATAAACACACATAAAATAAATTAGGGATAAGTCAATACTGTGTCAGATGTTCAGACATAAAACAAACATACAGCAACTTAAGAGTGAGTCAATACTGTCAGAGGTTTAGACAGAACACTAACATACATATAAATTAAATTACAAGTGAGCTAACACAGTAACTAAGCTACCTCCAACTATATAAAAGTAAATTAAAAAAAAGACACAAAAAATATAAATTATAAAATAAGTAAAAAAAACAAAATATCACTAAAGGCATGATCGATAATAAATAGTAATGATAACAGGAAGCATTCTTCTTTTAGCCTTTGCTTAGAAATCGAATCCCACAAGGCATTAGGACATGGAACAGGTTCTCTGGGTTCCATGTTGCCAGTAGCAGGGTAATCATGAAGATCATACACCTGACTTGACAATATGTGTATATATATGTGTATATATATATATATATATATATATATATATATATATATATATATATATATATATATATATATATATATATATATAGATATATATACACAAATTATATACATATGCATTTAAGCACAGGGCTTTGAAGCTGCTCTGGAGCTGGTGTTTTTGCAGCTGGGCCGGAGCAGAAATATTTCCGGTTGAGCCTATGTATATACAGGCACTCGCCCACACTACCCTAAAGCAGTTTACGGCTCTTGCAAAAGTGTAATTTTTTTTTATTTTTTTATTTGATATTTATTACAAAAAATTAAATTCTTTTGCAAACTATATTTAAATTATTTTATACTACAACAATTGTTTTGTTTTTATTAAAACAGAATTTTCGTATTATATTATTATATTATTATTTTGTGAATACAAATATTATTTACTTATAATACAAAGTTATTAAAGAATTAATTAAAAAAGAAATTTTTCTTTTTTTTTAATTTTAAAAACAGATATGCAGTCGAATGAGATATTTTTCCTAAAATCTTTGAAATATCTTGAAGTATCACTATATCATTAATGCCAATATAGTTAACAAAGTTGGTTATAAAAAAAAAACATTGTTGTAACTAAGATAAAAAATTGCTAAAGTTATTTAGTCATATTACCATGAATTATATTTTATATACATGTTAAATTTTAAAAGTCATATTACTATGGTCAATGCTCAAAGGAGCTTTTATCTCTTGTTTCATCAGCAAAAACTTATTCTTGCTTGACTCATCATTCAGGAAAGTCACAACTTTTTACCATATCTGTCCTTGCATGCTCTTAAAACTTTAATTTATCTAGTTTTTTCGATGCACTTCAACACTTTGGAACTTTTTCCCATCTTCATGTTTTCCTGACTTGTACAACCTACAACTTTTTAAGTCTTCTATCAACTGTTTCCTTTGTTTTCGACTCTATTCTTTGTTTTCTAGTAACTCTTAACTTAATAGTGATTGCTTGCAGCCTTGTTGGGAGTGAAGTAATATAGTAAAAAAAAAAACTGGATTTATCCAAATTTAATTGTTACTTATTTTTCTATATCTTGTATATTATTATATAACTACATAATGTATAATATAGTAAAACAAAATATAGTATATTATGTTTTACTATATAGTATATAACTATATAATTACATAATAATAGTTATTAATTATTAATTATTAGTAATTAATTACTAGTTAATATTTATTAATTTTTTAGGTAAAAATATATTGACTGTGAACAGAAAAAAGTGTGTATTTCCTTTTTATTATAATAATAAAGAATATGATAAATGTGTAAAGTTCAGAAATACATATCAGTGTGCAACAACTGTGGTAGATAAGATATCATCTGGTTATGAAGATTGTGATTTTCGTTAGTTTTTTTATTTTTTTTTTAGCTGTTTCAATTTTTGTAAGTTATCTTATTTTTGTTAGTTGTTTCAAACTCATTTTTGTAAATTCACTTTTATATTCAGCACAAACATGGTCAGAGAAAATTGTTTCTTTATCAATCCCTGAAAATGTTCAAGTTATGCTTTATGCAGAAGAAGATTTTAAAGGTTTATATATTTAAATTGCTTTACTAATAGCATGTGTATGTATTAATTTTTGTAATTATCTATACCTTAAAAATCAAAGGTCGGTTGTCACATTTTAGAAATTATTCAGGAGAGAGGAAATAGTAAAATAATTAGTTTTTATTGGCCTATTCTTGATGGTTAAATTTATGTAACTTTTTTTGTGATTTCTTTAATTTGTCTTAAGGCACATGAAATATAATTTTGACAAAAATTATAAAAGTAGTTTCTGGACAACAGACGTTTTTCCTTTGAACATTGTGGGGACCAGACCTTTTATATTTTATATTATAGACCTCTGTATAGATACTGAAAAAACTAAAAAGGTCTCATGCATAACTATTTTTATTTTTTATATATCAAGGTTTCCCGGGAAGCGCATGCGGTTGCATGCCTTATTTCTCCGTTGTTAAAATAATTTTTTTAGTTTACTTGACCACGTTTTTATATAGTAAGTGTTTTAAGAATTTGCGGGAAAATAAACTAAAGAGAATAAAATAGCAATACTCAAAAAAAAGAATGGAAAGAATTTAAAAATGGAATATTAAAAAAAAAAAAAATTGTTATTAAAAAAATATACCTAAGTATTTTACTGCTTTTATTTTTTTATTTTTAGCAAGTATTGATACAAGTTGAGGAAAATATGATAAGAATATATCGAAAATGAAAATATTTTTTAATTTACAATTTTTAAGTGACTTCAGTCAGTATATTAAGGAAATGATTTTATAGTTTGCGCTAAAAACACAAACTATTTTTAAATTTGTTTTTTACTAGTTTTTGCTGAACTTTACTGTTTTTATCAATACACAGGAACGTGAGAAAACTAATTGCAATTTATATGTAAAAAATTTTTTTTTTAAAAACGTTTTATAATACTAATATCTAAATATAAAATATTTGATCGTTTTTAATACCCCCATCGAAATACTCTGCACTTTTTTAGGATTATTCAAATTGTGCATTTAAACCCGATAGTTTATTTTTATATATATAGATATTTATGTACTATTGTTATTGACAATGCTTCAAAAGCTTGTGGACTAGTGAATTGTTACTTTACTGAACTTTTTTAATGGAGCCTATTTAAAACTTTTTTTTTAAGTTTTAAATACATTTTTTTAAACAGAGCAATCGTTTCATTGTCTCATTAATTTTTTTTTATTATTTTGTAATAATTTCAGTATCTCATCAGTTTATTATCTCTAGTAATTCATATTAACGTTAGCAGTTGGCAATATAAAAGAAACAATTTCAGACATAATTCAAATGTGGCAAATACATTTATTAAAGAAACCATGTTATTCTTTTACATTACTTATTCTGTCATTACAAAATTTATTAATCAAATGATATATTTTACAAATAAATAACAGTTCATTTTCTTATTTTCCTATTATATAAGTATTAAAACAAAAACATTTTCAAAAGCGAAAAAACGTACAAAATGAATAAATGTAAAAAAAAAAAATTATTTGGACTGATAAAAATAGTGAATAAATTACATATCAAAACATTCAATTGTTGTTAAATTGTTATATAAGATAATTTTTTTTTTCGACTCTAAATAAAAGAAAACAAAAGTTGTATAAAAATTAGGTAAAAAAAAATATTTCATCTACTTTTTTTAATAATTAAATTTTCAATTTAATTAAACTTGATATTTCATTACAAATTTGTTTCCTTTTTTGAGGATTTTTTTTTTTTCTCAGTAGATAAGTTAAGCTTTTTGACGCGAATTATTAAAATGCTTAATAAGTTAAAAGATGCAAACTGTCTTGTTCAGTTTGTCAAACCAAAAACGTTTAATTTCTTTATTGATGAAACACAGTGTAAAATTTTGGTGAGTGATTTTCTACTAATTTATAATTGCTCTGTTGTTTTAAGAACATTGAGTACTCTATTTTGTTGAATATATTTTTAAAATTATTAATATATATATATATATATATATATATATATATATATATATATATATATATATATATATATATATATATATATATATATATATAAAACTATAAATGCTGATTTAAATAACCAGTGTTCTGTCACAATGAAATAGCCTGTTGCCCGGATCTTCAATACACACATCAGCTATCTTATAACCTGCTGCTGATTTAGTGTGCAGCTGCATCAACTGAGGGCTTGGCATGGGGCAGCAATCTTTTCTTTCTTTGTTTTTTTTTTTTTGTTTTTTTTTTTATTTTAAAAAAGTTGTATGCTATAAAAAAGTTGTATGATAAGCAAAACTAGTAAACTAGTAGTTGATTTATATATACTCTAGTGTTGTCACGGTACCAAAATTTCAGTATTCGGTACCGATACCAGTAAAAATCCACGGTTCTCGGTACCAATTTCGGTACCAAACCAAAGATTAATTTAGACTAAATTTGCCAATAAAAATTCACAATTCTTTGTATCAAAGCAAAACACAAAAACATGCTAGCTGAAAGCTAGTATCAAAGCAAAACACAAAAACATGCTAGCTGAAAAACACACTATTTTTATTAATAAAGTTAAACAATGCCATTCTTCATACTTGTTTAAAATTGTGTTTCAACTTTTTCCACAAATAATAAATGAAAAATTACAAACCTAAAAAACGCAATTTTTATAAATTAAACAAAATATGCCATAACCAACAAGTAATAAACTAAAATATTATTATAAATGTAAAACAACAATGGCATAATTTAACTATTTCAAGCCAAGGATTGTAAACATTTAAGTAATTAAATAACTAGATAAATAACAAAACAATAAAGGATGACTGAATAATCACTCTTATTTATAAACTTTAACATTTTTATAAATTAAACAAAATATGCCATAACTGAACAACAAGTTGTAAATTAAAATATTATTATACATGTAAAAAAAATAAAACAACAACGGCATAATTTAAGTATTTCAAGCCAAGGATTGTAAACATTTGAGTAATTAAATAACTAGATAAATAACAACATTTTTTTCAAACAAGTTTCACCCAAATCAATACTGGTCTACACAGTTATTCCTTAAGTTACTTTCCTTGCCATTTCCAGATTTTCCGATAGAAATCATATCAACATGTTCCTGACTCAGTCTTGAGCGTCTTGGGCTAACAATGTACCCTGCAGTACTGAACACTCTTTCAGATGAACAGCTAGATGCAGCAATGCAAAGGTACTTTCTGGCAAACTCTAATAGTTGAGGTAGAGTACCCATATTTGTTTTCCACCAGATAAGTGGATCATCCTCAGCACTGACCTCAGGCATCTGATCGTACACCAAGAATTCACCATTTATCTCGTCACTTGCAGAAAGAGGTGCTTGACTTGAGGATGCTGGCTCTCCTTTTTCTTTCTTTTCCCCTTGAATGGTGGAAAGCAGAAACTTTAGGTGATTTTTGGATTTTTTTGATGGCCTGACTTCTTTACTTGACAATCCTCCAGACACTCGAGATGCAATTCCTTCTTTTTCATTGCCCATTTTTTTCACCTCATCCAGGAAACTTTGCTTCACATCATCCTTTAGAGAGACAAAGCTGTTCTTAAATCGTGGATCAAGGTAGGTTGCAGTGTTCAAAAGAAACCGCAGCTGCAGGTCATCATAGCGATGCTGAAGATACTCGTGTATCTTTTCCTTCATCTCTTTGGCTAATGCAGAGTCACTTTGTTCATGACTGAGACACTCAAATATCTTCCAGAGTAACGGCAAGACTGAAGACAGGGTGGTATGTTTTTCCCCGCTAAGTGCATCAGTAAAAAGACTGAGTGGCTCAAGAACTGCTTTAACAGTTTCTAAAACTGTAATATCTGAGTCTTTTGGCATCAGATGCCATTTTTTCCTGTCTTCAGCCAGGACAGCACAGACAACCTGCTGCTGCTCCAAGAAACGTTATGGTAAAATACGATATGGTGATCGTATGAAGAATTCCAGCGAGTGGGTTCATCATGAATGAGTTTGTGGTCTGGAGAGGACAGATCTTTCTGTTTCTTGGTCAGCTGGTGTGAAAGTTTTGGGGATCTTGTAAAGGCAGAAATAGTTTTTCGAAGCCTTGACAGCACTGCAGACACCCTGTTTTTGTCTAATGCCTTATTTACAGCAAGGTGGAGATTGTGTCCAAAACAAGGAATCCAGGTGTAGTCCTTAAAGGCTTTTTTGTTATTTGAGGCACTGTCTGTTGTGATGCCTGACATTCTTGCAATGTCCAACTTCCAGTCTTCAAGTTTTTCATCAAAGGCCTCCTTCAAACTTTCAGCAGTGTGGTCTGTGTTGAGACCACAACAGCCAAGACACTAGGATTGCAATTCCCATGATTTAGTAATGTTCTGCAGAGTTAAAGACATGAGAGTTTCTGCAGTTCTACTTGTCCAAAGATCTGTTGTGCAACTGTAAAATTATTTGTCACTGAGATGCTGGATTATGAGATCTCTGGTGTCATTGTACATGCGGGGAATCTCAGTGTACATAAAAAAGTTTCGACTTGGAAGCTGGTATTTTGGGTTGAAATGATGGAGCATTTGTTGGAATCCACATTTTTGAACTGTATAAATGGGCACTTTATCAATACATATGAATTCAGCAACAGCTAGGTTCAGCTTTCTTGCCTCATACTTTTGTTGCCACTGAAAAGCTTCTTTAACTGTTGCCTGTTTATAAGTTTGCGGGGGTGTTCCATGGTCTTCCTCAGCTTGCAACTGTAAAAGGAAAATATAATAAATATACTTTATAAGTATAGAAGTCAAAAATGGGCTAAGTCTGAACAAATGAAACATTAGTTTTTCTCTAAATAACAAACCTCAGCTTTTATAATATAAAAACCTATATAAACAATTTTAATAAATAATTAGTACTTGTAAAAAGATTAAATATTTTAAATTTTGTTAAAAAATACTTTTTGTATAAAATCGTTCAATCCTTTACACGGTAGGTAATTACATAATTTCTATTAGTAGCACCATGGAAGTAAAAAAGTAAAGGATTAGAAGGATTTT